CTCGCTGTCTCAGCCCACACAGCCTCCAGCTCACGTCTCGCTCCGCCAAACTATACCGAGGTCCCGGCTTCGATCCTTCCGGCGCGCGGCCGTTTTGGTCATGACGGTGTGCTAAGCGGCTCCGAGAGGCGGCCACGACCCCCTCGGGAGCCACCGCCGCCCAGCCGCCGCGACCCGTGATGGACGCGGCCGTTCCGACCAGAGCGGACCGACCGCCGAACCGGAGACCACTGACCGACCACAGGGCAGAGTTAGGACTCGATCGCCGCGCGCTGGTAAGTGAGACGGACGGCCGATGGCCCAGCAGGTCGGCGTGGGGTGGCCGCAGGGTCAAGGTCCTTTTGGGTCGTTGGGTCGCGCCCCGGGTCGCCGCCCGAGGTCGTGGGCTGGATAGGGTGGGTGAAGGGTCACTGTAGCAGTCATCGGGTCATCGGGAAACCTGAGGTCGACCGCACCGATAGTAACTTCTTTTGACATTTGAATCGATGAAAATCTAACCATGTTAAGCCAGGGGCATCTGCTATCAAAACAGAATGAAGCGAACTGCCGAACCGTATGTAGTCAAAGCGAAAACAGAATTGACCATTATATGGATATATACGTCTTACGTGCAAACACGCATCATGCATATATCAACACGGGCAATCGTTTGATGCTATTTTGCGCAATATAGTTATATGGGTCTGGCTGGATATTTGGACTTCTCCTAAAAGCACTCAGCAGTGCACACAATGTTTGAGCTCATCCGAGCTATCGTGTGACAAAACAAATCATCTGTCGGGATTGATAGGTCGACATTTATTGATGACTTTTAGAATAATTTTTTTATACTGAAGAAAGTGTGGTTCAGTTATTGCCAAAGAAAATAAATCAACTACAATCCACAAGAGTGAGCACAGAGCGCAGCTCGATTGCTGAACACATCACCATGGTTAACAAGCTATTAATGTCAAATTTCATTTTAGCAGAACACTCGATAGAACTAACAGCTTCAGTAGTCAGCTCGATCTCGGTCCAATATTACGGCGTCGTCGTTAATCCGTCTGCACTGTCTAACTGGCAAAGTTGGACAGTATTAGAGTGGGACATCTTGTGTTCACATCAGGGCCAGCCGAGTACATCAATCTCAGTTTAATCTCGGGCTCCGGACACAACTGTCGCTAGTTGCGACCATAACCAACTCATCCCGCCGATGAGATCCCATCAGAGTTGTCAGGTACCGGGAAACGGGCGCTGTTTAGGTGATTAGGTGATCGAAATGGGCGTTGTAACACGCCGTTGAATGACTAGGAGAGTTGAGACGGGTCAAAATGGATAGTTCAAAATTAGAGTTGCAAAGTTTCCCTACCGCACTACCGGCATGCCGGTAAATTTTCACTACCGCAGGTTTTTTCGTGGTATCTGGCATGTCTTGCCGGTAGCATGCCGGTATTTTTGATTTTGCACAAAAATAGAAAATATCAGCATATGGTTTAAACTTTGGGCACTAAGAGGCTATCAAATTATAATTACAGCAATATTAGCCACTGCAAAATACATTTTGTGGTAGAAGTTACATTGCTAAGGGTAGGGATAACACATGGACCTCAGCGATTCACAGGTTTCGTTATAATTAGGATTGTCAAGAATCTACTGTGGTCAATAAATAGAAGAATATTTATTCATGCTGCAAAAGCTCGATCAATCAGTAAGTCTAATGGTATGTAATAGGTAAAATACAACAAAATAAATAAATGTTCATGACAACGTTCCCTAGAGGAAAAGGCAGAATCAAAACACCACAAAACACATTGTTCGGAAACTGGCCTTGAGTCCTGAGATGTGGTCTGAGATACTCTACAAAGTATTTGACACTGAAAATCCAGCTGAAAAGGCAGGTATTAGGTAGCCCTGAGCCTGACTTTGGTCCCAAAAATGAAATGAAAATCAAATAAACTGGCATTTTGTCTCATCTTTACAAGAAAACACAATATGCATACAAAATAAACAAAGTGGCGCAGAATAACAGGGGAACCAACTCCAAGGATTGACTTTTTAGATCTTCCCTCCCCTGATGGAAGGATGTAAGATGATGACGTTATATTTATTCGTATGCCTTTTTGGTTTAATTCCTGAAAGGGAATGCATTTTCTTGTAGTGAACTAAACTCACAATGTTGATTACATCAGAATTCAATATCGTTTTGGATCATTTACATCAACAAATCATTTATGAGGCAGTCTGCTACAGTTCAGAAACTTTTTTTTTTGCAGCAATTTAATCAGCTGGTTAAAAGTCTCTGTTATTATGGCGCATCTGTTTCGAAATCTTTGATAGTTGATAACCTTGTGTTTGGAGAGGGGAAGATACTTCGAGAAAGCGGGTAATATATCGTTTTTATGCATATTATTTGGTGACTGTTCTCAGGACAAGTGAGTTTTTCACATTTTTCAAATGATTCGTATCTTATTCATGAGCCAGCAAGCCATGGCGAAAAGGAAAAAAGGTGTTGATCTCGCTTCCTCAGGCACATGGCCGAATCTGTAGGTACTTTTTATGTTGTGGCCATCTAGATTTCAAAATTCGATTTTGGTTGGTAGGTTCCTGCAACATTTTAGGAGAATGTGGAATAGTAGAACACCTCTGAAATGTTAATGTGATTACTGCTAACTTGAACTGTCCAGTCTTCAGAAACAATTCAGTAATTTAAGTTCTTTTTGTCATTGCTTTTTTGATGCTTTTTTCTTACTGCTTTTTGTATAGGCAATACCTCTTTGATTACACGTGATATTTTAACAGTTATAGACTGGAACTGAGTTTCAAAATTGTGGGTATTTGTGGGGCCAACTGAGCCAAAATCATCCTGTTCGTAGTTAGGTTGGACATTGGGTGGCTGCTGGGTGGGAACTGGGATGGGTACTAAAATTGCCAAAGTGTGGCATCTCTTGTAGGGGTAAGCTAGAATCAACAGTGCAGGTATTTTTAGTATGCCGGTAATTTGGTGGTGTTTTTGCTTGGGTCGTGGTAGCATGCCGGTATCCCAGAAAATTTTTGTGGGGCGGGGCGGTGCCGGTAGCAGCCTTTGGGGGAAATTTTGCAACTCTATTCAAAATGGATACGACGGGTTGAAGCATTTGTGGTTCTTAATTTGGGAATGTTCTCTTCCTTTCTATGTATGCCTTCATATGCAAATGCATGTGCGATTGAATGTAGAGAGAGAGAGAGAGAGAGAGAGAGAGAGAGAGAGAGAGAGAGAGAGAGAGAGAGAGAGAGAGAGAGAGAGAGAGAGAGAGAGAGAGAGAGAGAGAGAGAGAGAGAGAGAGAGAGAGAGAGAGAGAGAGAGAGAGAGAGAGAGAGAGAGAGAGAGAAAGAGAGAACCGAACTGAACAGTTCTTATCTTAAAGGGATCTAAAAAAGGAAGATCAAAAGGTTGTTGAATAACTTATGTAGCCAACTTACTAGCCTATCACTTCCGTAAGCATAAACGGATTTTATCCCGTCGAATATCCAAAAATATTACAAGTGACTAGGTACTTCTTTTGTTTTCACTGCATGCAATGGCAGTTACCTACACGCTTCAAAGTTTTGTACTAAAAGTAGATTCACTAAAGTTGTCATGAAAAGTTTCATGAAAAAACGATTTCATGAAAAATGTGGACGATATACCTACCAATGCTTTTAAATCGATTTCGCGCTTCTCAATGAAAGCCACACATACTGTAAGAATGGCAACATCCAACGTTCTCCACAATGCTCATCATAGAGACAAAGATCATGCTTCAGTCAACCGATTCTTTATTTATACAGCTGTAAGATGATGGAACTGTTCAGCTTCAACGGCTGATGCCTGAAGGGATCTGCGAATTGTCGCTATGAGGGTCACCGAACACTGTCAAAAACAGTGGCTTATGGCAGCGGGGAGCGGCATGAAACTCTGCCACCTGACAGATGAGCTTGTCATTATGTCACACATAGCTGCTGTTACATGATGGGAAAGGGACGGGACAGACGAGATGCAGGACGGGACACGACGGGACTGGGACAGGACGGGATTGGGACAGGACGGGACTGGGACAGGACGGGACTGGGACAGGACGGGACTGGGACAGAACGGGACTGGGACAGGACGAGACTGGGATAGGACGGGACTGGGACAAGATTAGGACTGGGACAACAGACCTGTGTGACCCAGTGGAGATGTCAGCTTTCTGGCGACTAGGTCAGTCTTCCGCTGGCATCCCGCTGTGTGAGGCGTGTCCTGGTGTCAGGAGTAGGGGCGGGTCATGGTGTCAGAGACAGCTGGTCTGGTGGGGACAGTAGCAGACCCGAGCCAGCACTCGCTGGTCCAGGCCCAGCAGCGATAGTGCTGGCGAGTGGAACCTGCCTATTGCCTAACTTAGGGATAGTGGCGTTGCTGTTGACAAAGATGCGAGGGATAGAAGAGGCTGTATGCGCTCATGTGCTGAAAATTGTCCTTGGGTGTTGCATTATTAAGTGGTGACCTAGCCCGCCCACCACATATACGTATATGAGTGCGGTAGATAAATTGCTGAATTGCTTTTCATCCCTTCCGTGCCCATCATCCGACTCGAGGAGCAATGTTGAAAATAATGTAGGTGGGCGCTCCTTGCGTGCTCGAGATCTTCAGCATGTTAATGTAGCATTTCAGAAGTTCCTGAAGAATATTTTACGTGGTGACTGAATACTAAAAAAAAAACGCCCTAACATCCGACACGAGCTCTATGACGTCATTCGCTCGACTGACGGAAAGGATCAACAATTGATACATGACACGCGAAAGAGAAGCGGTTCGTGCTGTGAGGAGCACGGATCACTGTCATCAGGTGGCGGCCGTGTGATGGTAGCGATTCGGCGCGTGTTTACTTTCCTCGAGTACAGTGGCTGACACGTGGACCCTTCACTCCCTCCGAGGCAGAGGTGGGTGGCTCTAGCAGTGGTTCACCTCCCACCCTGTGACCGCACCTGTACCGTCCAGTCATGAAGTTGTCTCGGGCTCTCACCTCGACTTGGCGGGCTCCGGGTCGGCTCCGTTCTGCGGCGATATTTTGCCGGCCAGTGTGTCCAGGGTGCTGAGTTTGCGGGCCTGCTCGGAGGCCGCCAACTCAGCTGAGTTTGGTTGGTCACGGTGCATGGCAGCGGCTCACTCACACACACCGCCAGAAGCTGGCTGAGCTTCGGCTGCAGCTCAGGACACACCGCCACCGTCCGGTGGACACGGACCGAAACTCCGTCACTTGGACTCAGTGGCCGAGTAAACTCCCTCTCTCACTCTCAGTATCCGAGCGAACGCCTTCACTCACTCGGTGAATCACAGCACCCGCTGTTGAGGCTCGTCAGTTTATCAAACTCAACTCAGCAGGCTTAGCTCAACTTTGGTTGAAACTCACACAGTACCGATCCTAACTCACCCACACACAGGTCACTTCCATTTACTCACGGTCCGAAGACAGCACTGAAGCTTCCCTGCAGCCTCAACGGGACTTCCCCGTCGTGAGAACAGTTTCAGAATAGCTCGCTGTCCAAATAACCTAAGAAACCGTTCGTAGTTTGTATACCAATTAATGTGACTGAATCACTCTACATAGCAGCCTCACTCAGTCTAGTCACGTTTCTCACGTGCCGGGGTATCGGTAACCGGTGCGTTTCACACGGTCCGCTTCTCACGTCTGACTTGTCACCGTGCAGTGCGCTCAGTCGGACACCACCCCTCAGCACTCGTCACCGCAAAGCACGGCGGTCACCCACCGGTCCACCACTCGTCACAATCGCTCGTCTCGGCCCGCACGCCGGTCCGCGCTATTCGTCCAGGGAGCTCCGGCCGGCCACACCTCCCCTCGGCTCTCCAACCGACAAACTGAGGCGCCGCCGCTGCCACCGCCGCCGCTGCCGGGAGCACGCGCCGCCGCGCCGGGCTAGGCTGGGCTACCGGTCACCGGAGTCGGCGCCAGTGACATGACCCCGGGGTGGGAGGGGTGATCAAAGACAGCAACTGATCGGCCTGGAAGACAGTGGGGATCAGATGGCGTGTCAGGTGCAGCTCTGCTGTGACACTAGCGACATCTTGTGACGGGTGCGTACTGGTCACAGGCGAGCAGGTCAGGGCCGGGCCGTCGATCGAATGGGTTGCTGTTGCCGCCTGGCATAATAATGTGACCTCATGACACACCTACAGCTTAGGGTGAAGTCGTATAAGAGTACGCACTTAGTGGATTTTTTGCTCTCATTTGTTAAATATTTGAAAGAAAGAAATCGCAAATATGGCATATTAAAGTTCATTGAATTCGCCATCAACCCATGAGGCAACGATCCTTCAGAGTAAGTGGAAGTGGTCTATAACTGACGTTTTCTGAACCGCTGCTGTTGCGTACTCTTACCACATGGGGTGTGTAAGAGTACGCACACCATGCGGGTGGAGTACGCAAGCATATAAACACACACCTATAGGCAGCTTTTACTGTCCAAATGCTTGGCATCAAACTCAGAAGACTTTTAATCTAATTCTAGTATCAAAAAAAGAAAAAGCATTAAAATAAATCTTGCATATCTATAAATCAAGAAAGAATCAAGCCATGTGACTTTAAAAATGTACAATCAAAAGGGAGAATAAATCGTATTTAGAAGAATTTCGGGTACGCATCTGCCTCACCATGCTCCATTGATGATTTACCTACAAAACAAACGTCTTTGAGCGATATCTCAATAATTTGATATTTCTGTATATTCGATATAGGTAATGTATAATTCTGCGTACTCTTACCCTCATGAACAGTGCGTACTCTTACCGTACATGCTTTTCGCGCACAAACAACCCCGAAACATTGTGTAAAACTTCACAAACAGAAAATTGCACTGCACAGTATTTCACCAGAAAACCTCACAAGTTTCCCACAACAATCACGAAAATGTACCTTATCTCAACTGCCAAGTATCAAAATTATTGTACCATACCATAATAATATCATAACGCTCCAAAATAATATTCATCGCCTTAAACTCAACAGCGTCGCCGCACAACGTCCACGTTCCGTTGGTGACAAACACGTACTGGCGGCTTCATGTCACTTCATGAACTCGACAAACCCGCGTTGCTAGGCAACCGAAACAGCTGATGCGTACTCTTATCGCCCGCGTCCTCTTACCCGCCCTTACCCTACGCCCAAATGAACGTTTCAAATGTAATCAGCAGTTTTTCACTCTTTCACTTGTTGAAATTACAATCGCGTTGTAGATACTAGATTACCCTCTTGTATTGACCTCCATTCTTGTCATGTCAATGGCATGTCAAACTTGATGCTATCCTATAGGTTGGTGCACGGTCTTCCGTTTCCCCTCACATTTCCACCCCTAGACAGTTCAGCTTCTCCTCAGTTTCAGTTTCAGGTGTGTGTTCTCCGACCTATGTGCATTGTGCATCCACGCCCGACATTATACATCCACGTCCCGACCCGACTGCCGTGCTACCAGTCTTGCCCTAGGCCCCCGTGCTCACCATCCCTTCCACCAATCAGAATTTTCTGCCATTCTCTGCTCTATTTTCATCTAACTTCCTTTGCCGTCATCACCAAATTCCGTCTCCCGTTCCCCGCGCTCTATCTTCCTTTCTCCTTCCTCTGTCCTGTCTCCCTGCTCTCTCTCCTTCTGCCTCCGCTTTGCCCTTCTATCGCCTCGCGGCTCGCTCTACATCCTGTCTTCAATGCTGCGTCTCCCGTCTTACCTCTGTCATCAGCAAATGCCGCACATCAGCGGCGTATTTAGAAAATCGCGAAGGGGGGGGGGGGCCAAGGGTTTGGAGGGCGCCACCTCACCCAAGGAGGGCGCCATACGGTCGCGAGATAAAAAATCGCTCAGTGGGGGTTGGGGGGTTGGGAGGCGTTTTTTTACCATGCCACCAGTTTTTTTTTTTGCGTAACCTCGTATAGGTCGTGCTGCATTGATTTTGCATCGTGTGTATTCTTTATACTCCAGGTCACAAAAGGTCAAGTGTTCTTGAAATGCTGCGCCGAAGGCGCGCGAAATTTTTGAAAACAACCTTTTCCTCCGCTTTTTAGGCACGCCTTTTATACGATCACTGTTCAAAGCTCCTCTCGCTCTTTTACCAAATTTGAAGGTGTAAAAAATACCTAAGGTTTGGTCGGGCCGCTGCCACACAAACTGTACAGAAAGCTTGGCTCATGGGTGTCGATGTATAAAAGTTTATTGGCGGTGGCATATCTACGCACCAGATCACCGTATCGGATTGATACCGGAGCGCGAGATGCGTAAACATCATCCAAATTACCTTAGACCAGCCTTCATAGCCTTCTCACAGATGCATACAGTGTACCCACATAACCAGTTTCAATCACCGAAACTTCAGATGCCTGCTGTTGCGCCCGAACCTGTTGACAATACTTAATCGTAATCCATATAGATGCCATGATGCACGTGCCATGCCACGGCCCAAGGATCAATCCGTTAAGAACAAAGACGTGTTTTATGCATCGTAGAGCGTAGATAGTTTTGGTAGGTATAGATACTTCATTCATTGTGCTGAATGCACGTTCATTTGTGGCAGTTTTCACAGGCAAGACATCAACTATGTGCAATAGAACGACTAAGTTGAAAAACATGCCAAAGGAGTAAATAAATGATAGGAGGGCAGCGATCAACGGATGTTGCCAATAGGTAGAAGGGCTGCGATCCACAGGAGGGCACTAATAGGTAGAAGAGCCCCGATCAACATCCCGAGTTTCGACAGTAGGGCACCGATAGGTAGGAAGTTGGCGAGCAGCAGGAGGGCGCCAATGGATAGAAGGGCAGCGATCAACAGGAGGGCACCAATAGGTAGGAGGGCGCCGATCAACAATCAACAGGAGGGCGCCACCAGGTAAGAGGGTGGCGAGGAACAGGAGAGCACCAATAGGAGGGTGGCGATCAACAAGAGGTCGCCAATAGGTGGGAGGGCGGTCATCAACTGGAAGTCGCCAATGAGCGGAAGGGTGACGATTAAAATGGGGGTGGCAATGGTGAGGAGGGCGCCTTTGCTCAAGAGGATGACACGAACAGGAGGGCGTCTGTGCGGAGGGCGCTGGTCAACAGGAAGGTGCCAGTGGATAGGAGGGCGGTGATCAACAGGAGGGTGCCAGTGGTTAGGAGGGCGGCGATCTACACGAGGGCGCCAATAGGAGAAGGGCCCCGATTAACATTCAACAGGAAGGACTAGGGAACCAATAGGTAGGAGGGCGGCACTGAACAAGAGGGTGCCAAAAGGGAGAAAGGCGGCCTTCAAAATTTCACATGAGGGCTCAATAGGTAGGAGAGCGCCAATAATTATGAGGACGCCGATCAGCAGAAGGGCGGCAATGTGTAGCAGGGTGGCGACCTACAGGAGGGCGCCTTCGGGTGAGAGGGCGCTTATTTACAGGACAGCGGCTTACATAGGCGACCACCGTTACGCTTAGAGAGCTACAGCCTACAAATGTGGTTGGAGGGGGCCCGAGGGAGCCCTCCAACCGTATTTGGAGGGCGTATTTGGAATGGGCGTCCTCCGAGGGCGCCCTCCATCCGTATTTTCCCTGTAAACACATTCGCGATTGGAGGGCGCCCTCCAGTCGCGATTGTTTTTCGATTCGATTATATCACAATTGCATTTGCGATTGGAGGGCGCCTTCGGCGCCCAAGGGGGGGGCCATGGCCCAGTGGCCCCCCCCCCCTGCCTACGCCCCTGCCGCACATAGCACCTGACGCCGCGGGCCAAAATAGTGCGTCCGATGGCGGCGACCGTCGCGCTGCGCCACGGCTCGCCTCACCTGCGTCACGCCACGCCGCTGTCGTAGTATGACATCATCAGGAGCTGTGGACGACCTGAGGCGTGAGTGGTGGCGTTTGCCTCCTGTGGTGGTGTTCGCAGAAACCCATGGTATGAAACTATGAAAGAAGCAGGGATGGCATCGGCTGGTAGATACAATGAAGTAGTTTTTTATTTCCAATGGCGAATAAAATAATTAACCAACTCGGGGAAGCACATAAGTCACTTTCAAATACATTCCAGTTTAATCAGCTTTAAGTTTTAACCATGACGTCGTACCCGAGCATGGTAGCAGCGTATGTTAGTCGATCGCCTCCTCGGTTGAACGGGGCGGGCCGGTCGGACTGCATATTTACTATTTACCCAGCCGTCCCCCGCCTGCGTCACGCCGGGCTGGGCTGGCCGCCGACAATGGCCCGCTATGGAGCGCACCAGCTGTTTGCCGTACCTATGTTTACTCGGGGCGGAGGGTTGACTTTGTCCTCGGCTGGCCGGTCCTGCGCGTCAGGCAGCTGCCCTGGTGAGCGGTGGCGTAGAGAGAGAGAGAGAGAGAGAGAGAGAGAGAGAGAGAGAGAGAGAGAGAGAGAGAGAGAGAGAGAGAGAGAGAGGGTGGAGAGAAAGAGAGAGAGATGGAGAGAGAGGGGGGAGGGAGAGAGAGGGGGAGATAGAGGGGAATAATGGGGAGTCGGAGAGATTCGATGACAAAATAGGTGTCAGGTGACGTCACGGACTGAGTCAATTCGGTTTTGTTTTACTATGCTTTTGAATCTAACCCTCGCCGGCCGAGGGAGGGGGGTGGGTGGGTGCCGGCACCCCCTCTCCCATAGGGTTTTTCGCGATAGCTCTGAACACGCTGGCGATAGAGAGCTGAAACTTGGCATACCTGACCTTTGATTCAATTCGGATCTTTTGACACCAAGCGCATCTTCGGGTCAGGTCAGGTCACTGACCTATGACGTCATAAGTGAACCTCTGCACGGTCTTCAGATGTCGCAACTTGGCAACGCCCTCACTGCCAGAGGAGCTATCACAGGGAAATGAAGCAACTTGCAGGATCTAACATCCATTACGAGTCTCACAACTAATGAATCTCGGATCTTTCCTAAAGGTCATATGAGGTCAGGTCATTTTCGTGACCTCACCATTACATATAAGTCAATGGGGAAAAATAAAAACTGCTATTCTGGCACCGTGAACGATCTCCAACTATCTCAAGCACA